CATGAAATGGTTGCTGATTTACCTGCAATAGAAGATTGTGGTTCTGTGTGTGATGCTTGTCAAAAGGGAAAGCAATCCAAATTCCCTTTTTCAAAGAAAAGTAATTGGAGGGCTACATAACCATTACAACTAATACACTCTAACATTTGTGGCCCTATGAAAACAGAATCTATCAATGGTAGCAAATATTTTCTGTTGTTTATTGATGATTTTAGCAGGATGTGTTGGGTTTATTTTCTAAAGCAAAAGTCAGAAGTGTTTAATAAGTTTGTGCAGTTTAAAGCTGTAGTTGAAAATGAGATTGGCAAGTCAGTGAAAGTTCTAAGAACAGATAATGGTGGTGAATATACCTCACTCCAATTTGAGGATTTCTTGAAGAGCCATGGCATAAAACACCAACTCACAGTACCATATAATCCTCAGCAAAATGGTGTATGTGAGAGGAAAAATAGATTAGTTATGAATATGGCTCGATGTCTCTTGTTTGAGAAGAACTTGCCAAGAAAATTCTGGGCTGAGGCTGTGAATACTTCTGTATATCTGCTCAACAGAGTTCAAACAAAGGCACTTGATAGGAAGACACCATATGAAGTCTGGTTTGGAATTAAACCAACCATTCGTCATCTCAAGGTCTTTGGTTGCATTTGTTACATGCATATTCCAGAGGCAAAAAGGGATAAACTTGATCGTAGAGCTGAAGTTGGAATTTTTATAGGTTATAGTAGTCAATCAAAAGGCTACAGGGTGTTTAATGTGAGGACTGGAAAGATTGAAGTCAGTAGAGATGTGAAGTTTAATGAAGCTGCAACTTGGAATTGGGTGAATTCAGAAGTTATATCTTCTGAGACTAGTCTTGAAGATGAAACTGATGAGGATTATGCAGTTAGAGGTACTATATCACTAGTTGATATTTATGCAAGGTGTAATGTTAGTGTTGTTGAACCTCCAAATTTCTATGAAGCTGTGAAGTCAGAGGTCTGGAGAGCTGCAATGCAGGAGGAGTTCAATATGATTCAGAAAAATGATACATGGCAGCTTGTGGATCGACCATATAACAAGAAAGTCATTGGTGTTAAGTGGGTTTATAAGGTGAAACTTAATCCCAATGGTTCTATAAACAAGCACAAAGCAAGGCTTGTGGTAAAGGAATACTCACAGCTCCCTGGAATTGATTTTTGTGAGACATTTGCGCCGGTGGCCAGGTTTGATACCATCAAATTGCTTTTGGCACCAGCAGCTCATAAATGCTGGTTTGTATACCAACTTGATGTTAAATCTGCTTTCTTGAATGGTTATTTGAAAGAAGAAATACATGTGGAGCAGCCTGATGGATTTGTTAAAAATGGTACTGAAAACAAAGTCTATTTGCTCAAAAAGGCTTTGTATGGACTTAAGCAGGCTCCTAGAGCTTGGTACAGCAGAATAGATGAATATTTGCTGAAATTGGGTTTTGTAAAGAGTCTCACTGAAGTCACTCTTTATGTCAAAGAAGAGGGAGATGATTTATTGATTGTTACAATTTATGTGGATGATTTTCTCATCACTGGCAGCAATGAAAAGTTGATCCAGCAGTTCAAAGTTGAAATGAAGAAGGAATTTGAAATGAATGACTTAGGGAAAATGTCCTACTTTCTTGGAATGGAAATCA